GTCAACAAAAACCAGTAGCTTAGTAACCTTGGAATCCCCTGGAGCTCAGGAACCAGGGGCCTGGGTGGGCAGAATGACATCTGGGAACAGCTGGAGTGGGAGGGCTGGCTCTCCCCACAGTCCCTGGCTCTCCCCCGTTGCGAAACACCCCTGACACCTTGCGGGGCCTGGGGCTCAGCCCATCGTCGCTCGCTAAGCCTCACGGAGGACCAGTTGAGGGCCTGGCACTGTGCTAGGCACCGTGGGGCTGGGAGCCCCCCGTCGGGTTCTCCCGGGTCTTCCCAGAGATCCCGCTCCCGCCGAGGGCCTGCGGCCCCCGCCTGGCTCAGCCCCGCCTTGCTCTCCCCACTGCCCCTTCCGGCCCCCCTCTTCTGGCTGCTTCACCACCCCTACTCCTGGCGGGAACACTCCTGAGTGCTGAGCTCCCTCAGCAGACACCTGCCAGGGCAGCCGGGCTGCGGGGTCGACCCCGGGAGGGTCCCAACGCCTTAAAAGGGCGCTGTCTTGCCTGCCTATGGCTCCCACACCCTTCCCGTCCTGCGCTGGAATTCCTCGGTGGGTTTCAAACACAACGGCTCGGTGCGCGGGGCGCCCCCGGCCCTCCGGTGGGGTGGGGGCGGGGCCCCGGAGGCCCCCAGAGCGCTTTCCCCCGTTAGAAGTCGAGCGCACCGCGCCCCGGCCTCGCCACGCCGCTCCTCCGCACTCACCCGGGCGCCTGCCTGTCCCAGGCCCGGGATCGCTGCTTTCACCCGCTAACTGCCGTTTTCTCCGGCGCTTACCATCTGCAAAGCGCCGGACTTTCTGTGTGCTAGTCAATCAGAACAAGCTCATGAACTCAGTATCATTATGTATTATCGTGCTACATTTGAGGAAACCGAGTCTCAAAGTTGTAAAGGGGTGTGTCCAAGGCCCACTAGGAAGCGAGGGGCTGGGGCTCAAACCCAGGGACCCCAGGCCTGACCCCATGCTCTCAGCTACTGAGATAAACCGATTCCTCCAGCTACGGGTTCTCAGCGGTCCAGGTCTGGGCACAGGTGCAGGGGGAATGGCTAAGCTCCCTGTTTGCTGCTCGTGGGCTCCTCCCCTCGCTGGAGGGGCTTCCTTAAACTGGGAACTGATAAGGCACCTCCACGTGCCCGGGGCTCTCTGGCCCCAGGAGTCAATGGTTGTTCCTTCAGTGTTTCCCCAGGAAAGGAGGAGCAAGATGACGGGAAGGAAGAAAGAAGCGTGGACTCGAATAGACTAGATGGCAGCCTATATACAGGGAGAACTGAATCCCTACACCACCCCTTCCTTCCTAGCAGTGTGACTCTAAGGGCTTTTTGCACTTCTCCCACCCTTCGTTCATTCCCCAGATACTGACCAAGCCCTCCTCTGTGCCGCTGAGTGCCGCGCACCTAGGAAACCTGAAAGTGAGCAGAAGTGCCATGGTCCCTGCTCTCCTGGAGTCTATCTTCTAGTGGAGGGAGATGGATCGACAACTAGCAGAGCGAATAAATAAGCAGTAATTACCGATGAAATAAGGGCTCTGATGGAAACTAATCAATAAAGTGAGGGAATGGGCAGAGGAGGGGTGGCTGCCTCCGATGCCCATCCAGGCAGGCCTCTTTGAGGAGGGAATGTAACATTGGAGATGAAGCAGAAGGATGAGAGTCCTTTTCTATCAAAAGGTGTTAATAAATTACTTCAAAGATCACATTTGCAGCACACGGTAGGCACCTAATAAATATGTGTTTGATGAATTTATGGGCTACTTACTGTATAGAGTACCTGGTATGCAGCGGGTGCTCAATGCACAACCTTGCCCTCTTTATAGAGGGTTTGGGTTCCTGGAAATGTTGACTCTTAAATCTGGAAAACTGAGCTTGATTCCCCTTTGATTTTCATATGAAAATTAAAGATGTGTTCCTTTGGGGAAAATTCCAAGGACCTAGACTGAATAAAATTATAGTGAAGAATGTAGAAAACCTTTTAAGATAGTGTATTTAAAGGAAAAGTGATCATTTCTGATGAAATATTAATAATTCTGAAAATGTCACTCTGTGTTTATGCTGCTTGGCGTTTGGTTGGCTAACACCTGTGCTTAGAGCAGAACGCCAATGACCCTGCACTGCCCAGGCTACAGGATTCTGGAAAGTTAGCCAGCTCACTCATTCCTTCTCCTGTTCTTTCTCTCCTTCAATAGAAGACCTGGCAACAGGGGCAGAAGACTGGAAAGAGAGAAAGAGAGAAAGAGAGAAAGAGAGAAAGAGAGAAAGAGAGAAAGAGAGAAAGAGAGAAAGAAAGAAAGAAAGAAAGAAAGAAAGAAAGAAAGAAAGAAAGAAAGAAAGGAAAGAAAGAAAGAGAGAGAGAGAAAGAAAGAAAGAAAGAAAGAGAAAGAAAGAAAGAGAAAGAAAGAAAGAGAGAGAAAGAAAGAAAGAAAGAAAGAGAGAGAGAAAGGAAGAAAGAAAGGAAGGAAAGAAAGAAAGAAAGAAAGGAAGGAAGGAAGGAAGGAAGGAAGGAAGAAAGAAAGAAAGAAAGAAAGAAAGAAAGAAAGAAAAGAAGGAAAGAAAGAAAGAAAGAAAAGAAGGAAAGAAAGAAAGAAAGAAAGAAAGGAAGGAAGAAAGAAAGAAAGAAAGAAAGAAAGAAAAGAAGGAAAGAAAGAAAGGAAGAAAGAAAAGAAAGAAGGAAAGAAAGAAAGAAAGGAAGGAAGGAGGAAAGAAAGGAAGAAAGGAAGAAAGAAAGAAAGAAAGAAGGAAAGAAAGGAAGAAAGAAAGAAAGAAAGAAGGAAAGAAGGAAGGAAGAGAAAGAGAGAGAGAGGAAGGAAGGAGGAGAAAAAAGAAAGAAAGGAAGGAAGGTAGGAAGGAGGGAAGAAAGGAAGAAAGAAAGAAAGAAATACAGCAAGCATAGGGAACAAAGATAGGGGCATGTTTCTTGGAACACATAGCTGAGGTTGCTAGAAGAATCTGCAAACAACTGAAGTGGAGTATTTAGAACCAGTATAAAGCTATGTCCAAGTTGGTGGCCACTAGTCACACATGACTATTTTAATTTTAATGTAAATTGAATTAAAATTTCCGTTCCTTACTTATATTAGCCACATTTCAAGTACCACGTGTGGCTTGTGGCTACCATTTTTGGTAGCACAGAGAACACTCCCACTACTGAAAGACAGATAGACTCTAGGACCAGACTACCTCGGTTCAAATTCTGAGTTCCTGCTTCCTGGCAAGGTTACCCCTTAGGCAGGTTACTCTGGACCTTGGTATATTAGTTTGCTAGGGCTGCAGTAACAAAGGGCTGCAGACCAAGGTGACTTAAACAACAACAGTTTGTTCCTTAACAGTTTGGAAGCTAGAAGTCTAAGATCAAGGTGTCAGTAGGGTTGGTTCCTTCTGAAACTCTCTGGCTGCTTATATATTCTGACTAGCTTCTTCCTATGTCTTCATGCGGTTTTACCTCTATGTGTCTATGTCTTAACCTCCTCCTCTTATAAGAACACCAGTCATATTGGGTTAGGACCACCCTAAAGAGCCGATTGTAACTTAACTGCTCTTTAAAGGTCCTATGTCCAAATAGAATCACAGTCTGAGGTGCTAAGAGTTAAGACTTCACCATCTGAATTTGGAGGGACACCATGCAGCTTATAGCACTTGATCTCCTCATCTGTAAAATGGGGTGATAACAAAAGGGCACTTGTTTTGTGGAATTGTTATAGATGTTCTGTGACTAAGTAATTACTTAACACACGGAAAGTCCCTAAAACAACACCTGGCACATAAGAGATACATAAAAATGCTGTCTATTAGTTTCCTTGTTGATTACATTGAAATGTGTGCCACTGGAGTTTCTCAGTTACAGTTTCT